ATGTTTATATAGGTGCGTGCGTGCGTGCGTGCGTGCGTGCGTGCGTGCGTGCGCATTGATGTGCGTTTGTGGGTGCGTGCGCACTCGCTCGCGTATAACACGTCTGCAGTTGACACGCGTCTGTGTGCGTCTCCAGCGACAATTCTCGCAGCGTGGCGGCAGGCGCGTAAAAACGCGAGAGTAATGGACGCCAGAGGGCAGTAAAACTCCCGCACATGCGGCTGCTGACGTCACGCGTAAATGTCGCACCCGGCAGATAGGTGCGATATGATATGACTACTAGGCACTTAGGATATGACTACTAGGCACTTAAAAAAAAAAAACCTAACCCTAACCCTAACCCAAAAAAAATAATATAATAATTAAGTTAAAGTGCCTAGTAGTCATATCATATCGAACCTTTCTGCCTTCTGCTAAATGTCAGAGCCAGGCACCCGCGACGCGCTAACGTCGCCCCCTCTTTCGTTCGATAAAATACAGAGCTGATGTTTATGACATGACAGTCTGCTGCGATTTTTGTTGTTGTTTGTTGATGCTTGCGCGAATAGTTAATTGCGTGCGAGGCGCCTGGGCTTTTAGCGTCTGTCCTTCGGGAATATTGTGTACTGACGGCATGAAAGCGAGCGATGTATATGTAGTGAGCGGTAAATTATGTTAACGGGGTAACCGAGAGTGTTTGTTTGTGGGGGGGAGGGGGGAGACTGAAAAATGGTGAGAGATAAAAAAAAAGATAGATAGATAGAAAGAGAGAGAGAGAGAGAGAGAGAGAGAGAGAGCGTTCGCGAGAGAAAGATTACAGGCTGTTCAATTGTAGTGTGACTATTAGAAACAATTTACATTGCTTATACATTTGACTAAAATATCTCATTAATAATATTTGCAATGTGTGCAAAGTGTGCAATGTATGTAACCAACAACTCTCTCTGTATCTGTGTGTGTGTGTGTGTGTGTGTGTGTGTGTGTGTGTGCGCGCGCGCACGTGTGTGTGTGTGTGTGTGTGTGTGCGTGCGTGCGAGCGTGTATGCGTAGGTGTGTGCGTGTGTGCATGTATATATGTGTGCGGGCGTGTGTGTATGTATCTGTCTGTCCGTCTGTCTGTCTGTCTGACTGTGTGCGCATCTATCCGTCTCTTTCTCTATTTTCTATCTAAACCCTGTTCCGGCTTCTGCTGCGCCTTGGGTCATTCTGGAAACATTTATTTTTGGCACATACTATCATATTAATATTATTAATATGATTTATAGGCTTCTTCATCTTTTATCAAATGAATCCCAGGTAATGTTAATTAATGTTAATTAGACAAAACACGTCGAATACGTGCATTCACCGCCTTAACATGTACTGGGATCTATGGAAGATTCCCTCCAATTGCCAGGCACCTTCGAACCCTTGTGTGTCTAGCTGGCAGTGACGAACGAAATGATTAAGCGGTATGGCAGAGAATGGAATCTATACTGCATAGAAAATCGAAAAAGAAAACAACAGAACCTCGCTCAATTATTTGAGCAAACATTGACAAATTTAAATGTAGTATGGCAGGGAGTCTGAATTGTGTATGATATTACAGAAAATGTTTGCGAAACCCTACTCAATTATTTGAGCAAACAGTGATGAATTTCATCAAGAGCATATAAAGAAGGAGAGCGTATATACTCTTTATATGCTCTTGATTTCATTTTTATCCTGTTTTATGGATGTTCAATGTCCAGTCTGAACACACCTAGGTATTAGTGCTGGGCATAGTAGAAAAGAAGCCCTGTGCAAACTTAATACATAGTGTGACACAAGTAAAATGATTGAGACCAGATTTATAATGAAATAGAAACAACGTGTCTGAATTAAAATAATAAAGATTTTATACCCCTTAATTACTGTGAAATGCATATAGGTTATGACTGACTATTTACACAAAAACATACGAACTTACAATTACTTAAAAAATTAATTTTCAATTGAAATTGGTTTAAGGCACATTTTTCACACGATCAAAAATATAGATATATACCATTTAGGATAACACAGGAGAAGAAAACTTTACATACTTCAACGACATGCCATAGCGTTTCCACCAAGATATCTTGAAACGTTAAACGAAAGATTTTTTAAGACTAAAGACCTATGTATTCCTATTCCTCGACCTAATTTTCCTGTTCGCAAATTTAATTACTACAATTGTAATGTCATCCACACTGCAAAATATATGTTGGTTGTGTTTCTAACAGAATTGTGTGTGCCATTCTAAGAGAGCTCCTACACACATGCTCACACACGCATGTAACCAAACTGTACAAAAGAATAGCGTTAAAGTACGCGTGTTAAAATACGGCGTCTGAACAATTTTAAGTCGTAAATGTTATTTCACTATATGATGCATGGATTCTTGCATCACGTACCCACCGCGGACGAGGCCGTATCCTGCCTTAGGAGGCACACGTACGTTCTTGACATCGCACGTGTACAGCCTTCAAAGTCACGTGTAAATAGCCATATAATTCACAGGTATAGATACTCTTATAAATACATTCCAATAAATGCTAATAGTTTACACACAAGACGCGTGTGTTAGCGTAATAGTCTGTCCGCACAGATTTAGATAAATGTGTCAAGAACAAGCCGCACAATATAACAATTGGGTGAGCAACGCCCATAATATACAGTGATGAATGATATCAGGACCATGTCATGTACCATGCTAAGTTATAGGAAATCAAACGTTCGCTAGCTCAAAGTAACCTACGATTTATTTTATTTCAGTTTTATGATTGCAGTAGATCCCAAGCTCAGGTTTTTCGAATTAAACGTGATAAACCTTAGGTAGATTAGGGTCAGCGAACGTTGGATTTCCAATAACGTAGTTTCGCACACTCCTTTGTATTTATTCGCTCTCGATGCTATGTATATGTTAAGGAACTCGACTCGATTCCAGGTGCACAGTAAAGTACGTGCTAGACTATTTCCAACAACCATTATCTTTCGAGTGACTATTTGCTCGCATTCTCAACTTTACTATTAATATTGTTAGGATTCTAAACATTATTACGAGATGGCGCACACATTTGGCTTGATGCATAGTAGTTGACCGGCACTTGCTACCCGCTCACACGTCAATCAGTTTTCGAAATTTGCGAATCTATTTAAAATACTGCTAGCTATGTACTACGCGTTTGTATGCACTCAAACCCACGCCAAAATTATTAATAAAAACATAGCAATTCTACGCTTTTATCGTATTCCTGACAAGTCTGGTGGCACAGGGGAAATAATAGAAGTCAAATGCACAGATTTGATCTTCTCTTGGATAACTGATGTTGCAGTAATTAAGCGGTTGGTGTGTAGAAGCCGTGTTCTGTTAGCCGCACGCTAACCTCACCTCTTCCAAGCTCCCCCCCCCCTTCCCCGAGACGCGCACACGGGCATTATAGAAGCTGATATACCTGTAAAGAATTCCGCATGACTTGTGTTTTTGCCAACCAGCTGCCTTTTTGCCATTGTACAACAGGCAATCGAGATACGGCTGCTATTCCAGGAAGAGCTGCGCATGCGCCTGAACGGTTATAATTGTACGGCTGAACGGTTAGAAATAATTCATACGTGTGACATCACACCTGTGTTGAATCACGCACGTGTGATCACGCAGCGTGTAATTGCACGCAACGAGTGTGATTCAATAGCAGGTGTGATCACGCAGGTGTGATGCATGCACGACTGTGATGCACGGCCAGGGTGTGATTATGCCGAGCGTGTGATTGCAATGCACGTGTGATCAAACGCAGGTGTGATCAATGACTGTGTTGATCACGCGCACCGTGTAACTCCCAGTCGAGCAGT